TACCCTCTAGCCTCCATCGGGTCTCAGAGCAGATATGGGCCATCCCCCACAAATTCTGCGGTAAGTAGAATATAAGTGGGTTGGTGGGATAGTGGTGAGCATAGCCACCTTCCAAGTATCTGATAGTGGTTTAAGTCCCAGCCAATGCAATGTAGAAAGGCAGCTCCCGATGTTGCTGGGGCGGTATTGCTTTAACTGTGAAAAATAGGCATAAGTGGGTCCCACAGCCGTGGAGCGCTGGCCCTGCTCCTTCTGAGACAAACTTTTGAAGTGGACCCCAGCCCAAAATTATTGCCCCCTCTTGAGCTAGACACAGAAAAGGCAAATACAAAGCAAACCAAACACTGCCACTTTGGGGGAAACTGAGAGCTGGCCTCTCAGGGAAGGAGAGACGATTGAAACATAGGAGCCACAGTGTGGATGAGCTAGCCAACCGTGCATGGTGTCATGGCTCCTTCCCCATTCCGGCATGATAAATGCAGAAGTGGGGGCCAGCAAGTGTACCCCAAAGCCTTATCTACCAGGCCTTGGTATAAAACTTCCCCCAAAATCTTAAAAACCTAGATCTTGGGAATAAAACTTCCGCTGCCACCACCCAAATGTGATAAAGAAATCAGGGGAAAGATCATTTGGGAAATCTTACCCCTAAAATAAAAATCAAGGCACACAATTAACCACTGCCTGGTTAATACAAAGAAAAGAAAGAACTTTTATTATTACAACAATATTCCTGTTGCAACCATAATGACTAGATAGGAAGGTAACAAAATATACTCCTGGAGAAACTCCATGGGCCTAGAACTTAGTTACAAAGAAAAGCCAAAACATCTTTTAAGCAGTGCCAGATCTCAGATCCCATACCCAACCCTTAAAACAATAAAGCCTAACAAAACTACTTAAAGCTTACCCTACTTACAAAAGTGAAGCATTGTTTCTTGGAGAGAGAGAGAGAGATGCTTGTCCCTCTCTGTAGCTGCAGAGAACACATCCCAAGAGACAAAAGGAGAAAGGAAAAAACCCAAATTCCTTTGTCCAGGTTGAAAGTCCCACCTACATTCCTACTGGTCACTCCACCTGGCTAGGTGTAGTTAACCCCTTAATCCCCAGGCTGCTGGCTAACCCTCATAATCATGACACATGGAATGTGGGCACATTGCAAAGTTGTAGCTTCAGTAGATGGGGGAAGTTCGGGAGGAAGAAGAGGAAGAAAGAGGGGGCTGGGAAAAGGGAGGAAGGGAAACAGAGAAGGAGGAGAGGAAGGGTGGGTGAAGAAAAGTAGAGCTGGAGGAGAGGAAGGAGGGAGGAGGAATAGGAATGCTAGAGCAGAGGGGCTGAAGGATGCAAGAACGAACAGGAGGAAGGGGGAAAGAGCTTGAGAAGGAGGATTGGAGAGAGACCAGAGGGAAGGAAAGGAGTGGAGGGAGCATGAAAGATGGGGAGCGAGAGATGGGCGAAGAGAAGGAAGGAGAGCTATTGACAGAGGCGTAGCGAGGGTGGGATGTGCCCAGAGACACAGGAAAAATTTGCGCCCCTCTCCCGTCCGCCATGCATTGGGAGGAGGTGGGCGCTTGTAACGCATCTTCCCCCGCCCCCTCCAGTTTGGGGGCCGGGTCCCCGCACGCACTGACCCACCAGCGGAGATGCATGAGGGTCGGGTTGAGGACGGAGAGGAGATGGCTCCAGCTGGCGGGCGGAGAAAGAGCAGGCAAGCTGAGGGATGACAAGGGAAGCAGACAGGGACTAAATTGTCCCCCCCAATATGGCACCTGAGGCCCCACCCCCTGCCCCTCCTCATTACACCACAGTAAATCATCCACCTCTTAGGATATTTATTGTTTAAATAGAAACAGTAAAAGCAGCGGTATAAATACTTTCCCGATCCATACAACGGCTAATGATTATCTCTTAGTTCTTCCCAGATGCTACCTTAGCTCACGGTTCTCCCTGGAGCCAGCGTTCCATCCCTATCTCCGTACGGAGGTGAGAGGCGAAGGTAGCAGTGTTCACGCTGTCAGGCCACCGACTTAGCCTGACTCTTGCTCTGCTACCGACACACCTAAGGAGGCTGCACACAAATCCCTTCTCCCCGTTTCCTGCTTCCATTCCCGTGTCCATCCAGGCCTTGCCGGGGCTGAATAAGTCTGCCGGAAAGTGTGATTGGCACGTTTTGGGACGAGCGCGTTTCCCCCCAGGCTTGCTGGCGAGCCATAAAGAAATGACAATGAGCTGGATGTGTGTCTGGGTGGATGTGTGTCTAGGTGGGTGTGTCTGGGTGGATGTGTGTCTAGGTGGGTGTGTCTGGGTGGGTGTGTGTCTGGGTGGATGTGTGTCTGGGTGGGTGTGTCTGGGTGGGTGAGTGTCTGGGGGGATGTGTGTCTGGATGGGTGAGTGTCTGGGTGGATGTGTGTCTGGGTGCTTTCCCCTGGACAGCAGACACCCGCAAGAGTTGGTGGGCCACTCTCTGAGGCCCCTGCCCCACAAAAATTTTGTCCTGAGAACCGCTGACCTACTCCTACTAGGCAGCATTGCAGCTGGAACTGCCTGTGAAGGGCCAACGCCCCCTAGTGGACCTCCTGGCCTACTCCCTGCCCCACAGCGCCCCCTAGCGACTCCACCTGAGTCAGCACTGCCCCCTACTGACCCATCAGTCTACTCCGCGCTGCACAGCGCCCCCTGGTGCCACACTGGGGTTAGCACTGACTTCCAAGGGACAGCGCCCCCTGCTGAGCTCCCACTGCCCAGCACGTACGTTTTGGCTTCAGATTTCCCTTCCTGCTTCGAACCAGACCAAACCCCGCTTGGGCTGAGCTCCTCACCACTGTTGTTAACCCCACTCGCTGTGTGTCTCGCAGGTGCAGGCCCAGGACAGCTGAGGCGCAGGAGATGACATACGAAGAGCTGAGCAAGTCCGGATGCCTGCTTGTGGGGTGGGGCCCTGCAAACAAGAGCATCCAGGCCCTGTGAGTGCCAGCAGACCATACTGATGTGTCCTGCCCATAAACCCCTCAGGAATCCCGAGACCAAACTGCCTCTCCGCAGTCTCCCGGCACATTAAAGCACATTCGGTCTCCAGAGATGACCTGGGTGTGGTTGGTGCATTTACAGCAGGGGCCGGGGCGTGAACCTGTGTGGGCGCTGGGGGCTGGGCGGTCGGTGTTGGGATCGCAGGACACAGTGGGAGGCGGGTGGTGCTCTGGGGTTTCGGCAGACAGATGACCAAGTCCCTCTCCTCCTCCCCGCCCCCTGAGTCCGAATAGAACCCGGGAGACCTGACTCCCAGCCTGCTTTGCTCCAACCCTTAGACCTCACTCCCCAAACTGGGGACAGAACCCCAGAGTCCTAAGTCCCCATCCCTCTCCCCACTCTAACCCCTGGACCTCACTCCCCATTTTTGTTGGTGCTCAGTGGCCAGTGAGCAGAGCCGCGCACTGCCTGGGAGTCCAGAAAACCGGTTTATTGACGACACTTGCAGGTTGTTATATGACACAAGCCGCAGGGACAGGTTCCTTTTTTCCCGCTGATGTGGCTTTTGTTGTCCATCCATGTGCAGAATAAATTTGTCATGTGCACCAAGGCCTGTGAGAATGTGCACCACCAATTGAAAAACAAAACCTCTCCGTGGGCACGCTGCCGATCAGCTGGGCAGCATTTCAGTTTCTCCCAGGAGGCCGCACAACCACTCAGCTTACAGGGAACTCTGGAAAGTCCCAAGAATTGGGACTTTGTCTTACAGAGGCCCCTAGTACCCCCTTCACCCTCCTGTTCTGATGTTTCCCATTTGCTGTCTGGTCACCCAATGGCTGGAGAAAGGGAGGCTTCAATAGATGGAAGCAGGCGCAAGGGGACGTGGGATTGGATCAGAGCCCAGGAGCGCCCCCTGGAAGAGAAAGGCCCCGACCCATTCCCCACCCCCAGGGGCCTGGATTCTGTATTTGCCATTGCTCCCTGGAGGGCGATTTCCAAGCAGGATTTGCTGGGCCATCACCTCACACGTGCGCTAATGACACAGACCTTGGCTGCAGCCTTTCAAGCATGCTCTGTCCCATCCCCCCCCAGGGTTGGGCGCAGGGAGTTGATCCTTCCCTCCAGCTGCCGGTGGGGCAGCCGCTCTGCCAAACTTTTTCCACCAAGGTCTTGCCCACCCGCCCCTCCTGCCCAAGCCCAGTGAGGCGAAGCCAGCTGTCTCTGCTCCCAGGCACTCCCCTGACTCAGAAGCCAAGACGGGCTCAGCAGCTGTGGGCCCACCCCCCCAGAGTCAGCTGCATCTCAGCACGCGGGGAGCGATGGGCGTTTCAGCCCTGCTGGGTGGATGCTGTCTGCTGCCTCACCCCAGAAGTGGCTGCATTTCAGCCAGCGGAGCCTTTCCGCAGCATCGGAAGCATTCTGCAGCTCTGGCCCTGGGCTCCTTCCAACTGCTCCCCCCCCCACTCCTTCCCTATATGTCCAGCTGGCAGCATGGTCACTGCTCAAAGGATTGCTACAACGGGGGCTGTTCGTCTCTTCATTGGAGCCAGAGGGGAGCAGAACCAGGACTCCTGGGTTGTATCCCCAGCTCCGGAAGAGGAGTGGGTGAGAGCAGAAGGGGCTGGGAGTAAGGCCTCCTGTGTTTGAACCCTCTTTCCTTCCCTGAGAGGCCGTCTCTCTGGTTTCCCCACAGTGGCAGGGTTTGGTTTGCTCTGTTGTTGCCTTTTCTGTGTCTAGCTGGTGGGTGTTTGAAATCCCTTTCCCAAACAGCCGCCCGTTCCCTTGCTGACTGTCTTCCCACTGGGCAAAATATCAGCTGGCAGTTTGGCGATAGGTTCACTGTGTGACTTTGGACAAGTCATATCACCCCTCTGTGCCTCGGTTTCCCTATATGTGCAATGGGGGGATAATGATCCTTTCTTTGTCTATTTCCTTTGGTAGCCTGTACGGCCAGGGAAGATCTGGTAGTATGTGTCTACAGAGTCTACCTCAGCGGGGTCCTGATCTCATGTCATAATGCACATAATACATAATAATAACAATAGAAGCTGTTTATTAAAGAAAGCAGCGACTGACCCAAACAGGTCTCTACACAGCTCTCATTCCAGCATGGTCTCTCTTGTTTACCAGGGACACCACCTTGATTGAAACCATTTGCTACCCCAGTGACATCTAATGGCAGCATGGTCTCTCTTGTTTACCAGGGACACCACATTGGTTGAAACCCTTTGCTACCCATCTAATGATTGAATGACACACTGCAAGGAAAGGTTAGTGCTAAGTGACTAGGATGATGTCTCCATCTAGAGGCCAGATGGAATTACTACAGCAGCTAGTAACTGACTCCCAGTTGGGGAAATTTCTCTCTTTGCTCGGCGGATAGAAGACGTCTGGAATTGGATGCTGCAGGACCTGGCTTGCTCCACTGGGCTCAGTTCTCCTCCTCATGCGCCTTCTCCTTTGAGGGTTCTGCACTTCCATGGGTCTCAGCTGGGGGGAGGAAATGCAGATGTCATTGCCCCCCAGAAAAGTCCCAAACAGCCACAAACTGGGCTTGAACCTAGAGACGACCTGCAGCACATGGATTCTGGAGCCCTCCAGGAACGGGAGCGCTCCCTGCAGTTGTCTACCCCTGTACGAGGCCAGAGGGTCCCATCTTCACTTGAAAAGGGGGAAATGGGGCAGAAGGCTGTAATCCACCCATGGATCTAGGAGACTACTTGGCGCTTGCCTGGGAAGGATGGGGTTGTGGGTTCTAGTGCAGGAAATGGCATTTGGCAAATTTACCCTCCAGGGGGCCCCAACTCTAACCTGGTCCCAGGATGGTGGGGGGGACTGGCTGGCCCAGGGACGATGGGGAACCCAGGGAACGATGACCCAGGGATGATGGGGTGCCGTAACCCAGGGAACATGACCTATGAAGCCAGGCTTCATGAACTGGGCTTGTTTAGTTTGGAAAAAAGAAGATGAAGGGGGGACATGATAGCGGTTTTCAAATATCTAAAAGGGTGTCACAAGGAGGAAGGAGAAAATTTGTTCCTCTTGGTTTCTGAGGACAGGACAAGGAGTAATGGGCTTAAAGTGCAGCAGGGGAGGTTTAGATTGGACATTAGGAAAAAATTCCTAACTGTCAGGGTGGTCAAATATTGGAATAAATTGCCAAGGGAGGTGGGGGAATCTCCCTCTCTGGAGATATTTAAGAACAGGTTAGATAGACATCTGTCAGGGATGGTGTAGACGGAGCTTGGTCCTGCCTTGAGGGCGGGGGGCTGGACTCGATGACCTCTCGAGGTCCCTTCCAGTCCTATGATTCTATGATTCTATAACCCCCTTCCCGGGCTGACGCTCACCTATCGGGCTGGGCTTCTCTTTGAGAAGCGACATCAAGAAGCCACAGAGCCGGGCGGGCGACGTTCCCTCCAGCTGGGGTGGCTCCGTGCTGATGCGCAGGAAGTTCTGCTCTGTGGATTTGTAGCGGGGCCACTGCTCCTTAGCGCTCCCTGGCCCTGTGGGGCTCCTGAGAGGAAAGCAAACACGTCCCCTGAAAGCGAGCACTGGCCCAGGTGCAGGGGTCATCGGGAGCCAACCTGCAAAGCGCCGCCCTCTTCCAAAATGGCCGCCCTGGCATCAGCTGGGAGCCCCCTCCCCTGCCCTTCTTCTCAAACAAACTAATACTCAGGGTGCCCTTGTTCTCTCGGCGACTGATGCCACATGCTGCCGTCGGGGAAGACGGCTTGTCATTTGGCTCTCAGACATGTGGGCTGTGTGGGCAGGAGAGCAATATAGACGAACGGGTGGGGGAGACGGGGGAGGGAGAGGGAAGGAGACTGTGGTGTGTGTGTGTGTGTGTGTGTGTGTGTGGGGGAAACATGGGGGCCCAGATAGAGAGTCTGGGGTAGGTAGGAGGCTGAAACCGCAGTTTGCCCTCAGTTAAGATGTCCACTGTCTCTCGTCCTTCCAAACGGAGAAAGCCACATGCTTCCTTAACTAACGATGGCCACTTCTTTCTAATGGTCGAAAAGGAATAGAAGCCACAGACTGCTGCCCTTTGCCTGTTGCACTTTCAGGACAGGCTGCTAATAGGAAGGATAGACGTTACCGTCCTTGCAGAAGGAATAACGGTAGTTCGAATAGGAGCTTTAATTGGAACTACCTGATCCCTGCCGCGTGTAGCCACGGGCAGTCTTCCCGACTACGGGGCATTTAAAAATGGCGGCCCCCGGGAACATGCAAATGAAGCCCGGGATATTTAAATCCCGGGCTTGATTTGCAAGTTCGAATGCCTACATTAGCCTCCCTAGTCTAGGAGGCTAGTGTAGACGTACCCTGAGTTATGTCAGAATACAGGCAGTCCCCGAGTTACACGGATCTGACTTATGTCGGATCCGCAGTTACGAACGGGGCTTTTCTCGCCCCGGAGGACTAGAGCGGCGGGACGCCCAGATGCGCTACAGTCCCGCCGCCCCCGTCCTCTGGGGTGAGAAAAGCTGCTCCACGTCTCCCTGGTCTGCTGGGAGGGGGAACTCCCCCAGCAGACCAGGGAGACGCGGAGCAAA